CTGAGCATGATGTGGGTCCATCTCTCCATCAGACCTGTTCCTCTGATCAGTTCTTGTGTCATCTTCAGTCTGGATGTAGGAAGAGGAGTCTGAGTTCCTCTGACAGGATTCACAGAATATAATATTGCAGCTCTCTCTGTTTAAACTGAAGCTTTAAAATCTCTCTAAACTGTCTGTTCTTAAACTCTGGTTGATCTTTATTTAATGTTTTTTAAATACAGTTTTTCTTCAGCTCGCTTTAACTGTGAAATCTGAAGGAACTGATGTCTCTGTGATGAACAGCAGGACCTCTGCTGTCCACAGCACACTCAGCCTCGAGCCCCCACCGACCCCCGGCTTTGTCAGCGTTTCTGCAGAGCTGCAGGATGACCTGTGACCTCCTGTGTGAGGCCAGGTGAAGAGGCTCCGAACATTAAACCCTCGTCTGAACACAGAACGATCCAGTTAACTGATTTGACCGTCTAATGTCATCGAAGCGTGTAGCGCCATAGAAACAGACGTGATCGTTTCCACAGGCTCCTCCTCCTGCAGCCTGTGGACATGATCAGAGAGGTTTGTGGCGAATCTAAACACTTGAGGTTAAATCCTCCATGTTTGTTCCTCCTTATAAGGTAACGATGGGATGATGTCAGGATGACGGTGATGATGATGTCACGTGTTTGTTTTGGCGGTCTGGATGACGCAGCTGTGAGTCACGTGGAGCGTCGTTACATAACAGAGCAGACTGCGGCTGGACTTCAGCTCTCTGTGACGTCATCGAGCAGCTTTCACCTCTTTTAAACTTTACGGTGTCTGCAGTGAGCTGCAGCTGCACATCTGTCTGGAACATCTGTCTCAGCCCTGAGTGAAGAAGCAGCTGAATGCTGCTGGCAGACTGACCTGTGACCTCTGACCCCGAGCCTGTCACAGACTGTACGGGACAGAGACTGCTGGATAAGGTGTTTGTGGGCGGAGCCTCGCGCGTCAGCGGGTCTGTGTTGTTGTTTTGTTCTTTGTGCACAAACAGGTGAAGGTTGACGGTCTGTTACGTGACGCCGCGTCCGTCTCTGTGACACTGCACGCGCTCTGCTGTCAGAGGGGGCGGGGGGCTTTATACAAGCCGCCGGACTCCGGACCCGCCCGCAGCTCACAGGCCGCCTGGCTGCCGGGCACCCATGTCCCGCTCACACCCTCAGATCCACGCCGGCGGAGAGCCCACGGAGAACGGAATGAAGCAGGAGGAGGAGGAGGGGGCGGATGAGGAAGACCTGGACGACGAGCTGGACGCGTCTCAGCTGGAGAGGTTCATGCGGGACCGGAGGAGAGCAAAGTCCCTGCCGGCGTACCCGGCGCTGCTGAACGGAGCCCACGGAGCGGAGGAGGGCAGGAAGCGCGTGAAGTTCGCGGACTCCATGGGGCTGAGCCTGGCGCGAGTGAAGCACTTCAGCTCCCTGGAAGAGCCGCAGATCCCCAGCAAGGTCCTGTCCCGGCACAGGAGCTTCCCCCTGGAGCAGCAGGACCTCCTGAGCAGCCTGTGCCACAGCTTCGCCGCCGGCCTGCGCGCGGACCAGCCGGAGCTCCGGGACAC